GTACAGCAGGTCCACTCATCTTAAAGTGGCCAAGTTTGGACAACACTGGTATATATGAACAGCAAAGGTAGCTGGAGAGTTATGGAGATAAATGTCATTCCAAAAGTATTTGGCCCCATTTTGTATTATCAGAATTCCTGTGTGTCTTTGCCACAGAATGTTAACAGAGTTCCACATAGATACTATCATATGTAAAGGGAGTCTAAGTGAATAAATAACATTAAAGATTAGGGGTTATTTAATTTATTTCATAAAGTCATCCAACATTCAGTATGTCACTCTGAAAAGTACACGTAAATAAATAGTTTAAAAAAGTGATTGTTGTGAAATTCTGCATAACTCTTGCCCTGGAGAACTGATGGAAGGTGTTTCAGCCTTAATAATTCATTTCATTGTTTTGTTTTGTTTTATTTCACTTTAGACAACAAGAAAAATTTTTTTTTTTCATCAGTTTGAATAAAAACAGTTGAAAAAAAAATGCAGAATTCTTCCATCACAGCATAACTTTTAACTTTGATAATTTATAGAGTTTTCTATAAATTAGTGCCTTCTAGGTATGGTAAACTGCAGTTTCCATAATATCACCCATCAAGAAGACTTCAAGTGAGGTAGGCTACCTTACTAATCACATTAGTATTGATTAGTAATATTTCATAACTTCCTAGCTCTTATTAACCTATTATTAATTTATAATAGGAAGTGTTTTACATATGTTTTATTGAATATAGATGGCAGTTCTTTTTAAAAATTTTACTTCCTTATTGATTTATTTGATTTGTGTGGCTGCCCACTTGACTTATGACAGAAGACTTATTTCAAATCTAGTTTCCAGTGTTACTTTATAGACATGGTAAGCCTCAGGCTGATCTGTTTTTGCATTTCACTCTCATCTATTATTTCCATTTCCTCTCCTAGTTAGCAGAATCTCTTTTTCTTGAGGAATGTGTTTTACTCTTCAAAGTCCTTATTGACTTTGCATTCTATCAGCTTTATTTCAACTTTCTATGAAAACAATTCCTAGGAGTTCCAAAACTAGGAAGAAAAAATGAGATAGTTTCTGTTGCTGTCTATGGAGTGGTTCTTTCCCACTTCCCTCTTCAACAGTCGAGATATACTCATTGGGAGGATGATGGATTGCTACCTGACATCTTGGTTGCCTCAGGCAGTAATGGAAGCTAATTACCTTTGCTGCAGCTATGTCATTTTGCAAATTAAATGATGGGTAGTTGCAAGAGGGAGACACATAATAAGGCAGGCCAGCCAATGTAAAACCTCCTTCCTGTTTCAGACTTAAAAAGAGGCAAGGGAAGAAGCTGTTGGGAGAACCAAACAAAGGCCCTACAGATACAGCTCTGAATCAAGGTCAAAACAACCTTTAGTCCATTCCAGTCCAGAACAGCATTTTATCTATTCATGTGAAGCTTGCTTTACAAGTTTAGAGCCTACATATAGGTCCTTAACAATTTCAAA